GTCAAGACCATCCAACCACTATCACCAGGCCCACTGGTTAACCCCAACCCAGCATTTCCTATAGGATGTGCTGGACATATGCCTGTTCTGGCCCGTAGGCCATCGCTTCCTCCCCAAGTTGTATAGGCAGGGGAGGAAGGGCATGGGTGCTCCTGCCACTCTCTTTCCTGTCCCCCCCCATACACATCTAGCTGTGACTCCCTTTAGGACACTAAGGACTGCCTGAGAGGCTCTGGCGCCCTGGCCTTCTTTCCTCTTGCCCAGCACTCATCCTGGCTGCTGCCGGGTGCTGTTCCTCATACTCCCAGCAAAGGCACGCAGGGGTGGGCAGCAGAGGGTGAGCAAGGCCAAGTTGTATTTCTAGAAGGTTACTTTGGCCAGATTCGAAAGATTTCCTAGTGGATGGAATGCATCAAGCAGGGCCCTGGGAGGAGACTAGTACCAACCCCAGGACTAGAAGGCCACCACAAGAGTGGAAATCGCGGAGTTGACAGTCTAGAAATCACAAGGAGATACCTTACCACTTTGTTGCATTCCAGGCTCTACCATATGCCCTCTGTGGGCCTTTGGGCAAGCTATGTAACCTCTTTGAGCCTCAGTCCTCATCTGTACAATGGAGATGATTCTAGTCCTAACTCAGGGTTGCTAAGACCCGTACAATAAGTTAATGTATATAAAGCACTAACACAGTGCCTAGCATGAGGAATCACTCAGTAATTGTTGGCATTTATTATTATTATCACTCACAGACCACGGTGTTGAAAGGGCCTTTTGAGATCATCTAAATTAATTCCTGTGTTTTACAATCAGGGAACTGACACAGGAAAGAGGGAAGTCTTGTCAGCACCTTCTGTCCGGGCCTTGCAAACCCAGTGGAACAGAGTCTGTGGGTCTCCTTCAGGGCCGCCAAGGAGCTCTAGAGAGTGGCTGGGAATCAGCTGATGCGCTGGCAGATTTCCAGCCTGGAGTTTCTCCCGACCTGGAGCCTGATGTATTCCCAACATCTCAGCTCATTTCAGGCAAAATCTTCGAGCATATTTTAGGATCAGCAAAAACCCACAATGCCTTTGGCTAAGCACTTTCCCTCTTCTTGTTGAAGCCCAGGGGTATTTTCTAGGAAATTGAGTCCATCTGTTTCTGATTCATTTGTACTTAACTCATCACCAAGCTGTTTTGTAAGAGTCCTTTGATGTGAAAGCCGCCTTATTCCATAAGCCTCTCTAAGCCTTTATTTAGTCAACAGTAGGTAAACGGGGCTCTCCAAAGAGGCCAGAGGCAGCTTCTTGATCTCCTGCTACACAAAGGCCACAGGAAGAGAAAGTGTGGCCTAAATGCCTATGGCCCTGAGACTCGCCCTCCTTGAGCCTGTGAGGGCAAAGCAGACCACCCCAAACTCCGACTCTGCCTGGGGGCTCAGCCACCCTGTGGCCCACTGCCTCTTCTCCCTGGGCGCTGCAACCCCCCGTGTCCTCCTTCAGCACCCACAGCCTGTCCACATAGATTTAAGATTTCCTGGATCTTGCCCGAATTTCTTTCTTTTCTTTTCTTTTTTTTCTTTTTTAGAGACAGAGCCTCAAGTTGTCACCCTGGGTAGAGTGCTGTGGCATCACAGCTCACAGCAACCTCCAACTCCTGGGCTTAGGTGATTCTCTTGCCTCAGCCTCCCAAG